CCTTCTGATGCTACAGTGCGGCATCCCAGTGCGCTCTCGAGTCAACGTGTGAACAATCGGGACGACCACTCCGCATCGCCCTGTGTGTTTCACACATTTTCCTCGCTCGCTCGACCCTGGGAGTGCTTGTCGCCACCGTCGCGGCTAAGGCGGCGATACAGGGGGGCTCTGGCGATCACACGCCTGCGGAAGGGGGGTGCTGAGGCCGCTGCTGCGACCGAGGGCGAAGCCGAATGGCTTAAGACGTGCCGCACCCAATCACATGGGTGCACGCCCGCCCCCGAACCACCTGCCCCACCGACACTTCCAGTGCGCCAAGCCCCCCTCAAGCCACTCCCCCTGGTCAAGCGCCCAGCAATGCTCTTCTTCCTGCTGCTCCGGCCTGGTGGATGAGCGATTCGGCGCGGTCACTGTGCTTCCAGCTACCAAGCTCTGCTGCCGCAGTTTCGATGTAAATGCGGGCTGTGTTGGCGTGCTGCCAGCGGCCCACCACCATGACCCTGTCCAGGGACCCGGACAGTAGCCATAGCCACGTCGCGCCTCCACGCCGTAAGCCGCACGGGGTGACAGTATCGCCCTCAACCTCGAACAACCCGCACAACCATTTGTATTCGCTTGTGAAATGGCGGGCTGCCTTTGTATACAGTGGTTGGGCTGGCTGGCGAGTAGCCGCCGCCGCGCGCAACGCCGCTACGGCGATGCTGTCTTCGATGAGGACGTGTTCGACGCCTTTCTGTCTTTTCGTTGTTTTGGTGTCGTGCAGCATGATGAGTACTTTGCGCCCGTCTGGGCTGAAATGCAAATGATGTGGCGCCAGCCCCACCACCTCGCTGGTTCTCAGGAGGCCCAGAAAACCCGCGAGGAGAAGCGCCGCCAGATCGACTCTGTGGTACGCCATAGCGGCCCCGACCATCGCTCGAAGGAGCCCCCGGTCGAGGGGGAAAGCACGCTTTCTTTCCAACACCGTGTCCCAATTGTGCAAATACTGCCGGGCTGTAGGGATTGCCTTCCGTGCCTTAGGATACAACCTAGCGATTCCACAAATGGTGTTCGCAGCATATCCGTGAGAATCACCTCCCATCCATAAGTGATTGACGTACTCAGCGAGGCTGTCGTCCAGCTCTGTGAGAGACGCCGGGATGGGTATCGCATATGTCCGTAGATACAGAAAAAATGAAGAAACCGTTTCCTGGTAACGTTGTCTTGTTCTCTCTGTGATGCCTATCTCCTTGAGGTGCCTGCGGGGCGACCTGCCCCGCCTCTTCTTTACGCTACGGTTCACCATTTGGGCCATGCAGGCGGCTCGCGGCATCCGCGAACTGCCAGGAGGAGATGGTCCAGACACCTATGGAGTAGACATCCATCGCTAGTTCAAAAGCCATAAGCCTGCGACGCGGCCGGTTGAGTCGTTGACTGGAACTCCGGCCCTTGGCGACGACGGCCGTTGCGACCTGACTGTCAAAGACATTGATGAATCGTAGCGAATGAAAACAATGAGAACAAGACTTTTTTCGGACATACTTAAGATACGATATAAGTTCTAACACGTTAATATGCTGGTGTGCTTTCCATGGGTACGACATAGTGGTCTGCCACTTCCACGAGAAAGCTGGGTACGGGACCGTTTGAAACACGTTGGCGACTTCCCCTGTGGCGAGCCAGACGTGGCTGCCCTTCGGGTCTGACCACGAAAGGAGGGAACGTAAATGTTTCTCCTCTTGTCCTGGGACCATCTGTCGCAAGATCGCCCCCACCACTCGGGCTAGATTGTCCGCGCCTTCGCTGTAGGCCTTGCGGCGCTCCTGCGCCAATTGGTCGCGGATCCATTCTGGTCTACTGGTGGGCTGCAGCGGCAGCGTGCCGGCCCCTAGGTCTTTCAAGGCCTGGGCGACGGCTCCGGCGTATGCCGTTCGGAAAGCCTCTCTTGAAGTAGCCTGGCCTGGCGCGCCTGGAAGCACCGTGCACAGTGCCCGGCAGTTGTGCAGGAACCAAACTTCCTGCTGGCCGCCGGCGCCCCCGTAGTCAAGGACGACGGCTGTTTCGTGCACCCCTGCGCGGCGGCTCACCGCGAGAGCTTCCGGGGTGTACCACAGAGGGTCATGCGCGGGGGCTTGCACGACAGCAAACCCCCAGTTGGCGAGCCTCCACTGCAACCTTGCGAATGCAAGGCTGCCGATTTTGGCGGGCTTTCCCCCGGGCGCCGAAAGGGAGCGCGAGTGCGCCTGCCACTCCGGGGATGCATTCCAATGCTCCCAAGCTGTGGCCTCGTCATCCGCTTCCAAGTGGATGTGTTTGCGCCCCGATTCTCGGAGCACCTCCGAGTAGGGGACCCTGGTGGGGTCGAGGGGGAGACAAATCTCCACGCCTGAGCAGGCTACGGCCCACGTAAGCAGGGCATCGGGGCCGGAGTGGCCCTCGAAGAAGCTGAATAGCCTCTCCCCCGCTAAGTCGCAACTTACCCGGCGGTGCGTGAGCACGCAGTCCACCGAACACATGACCGCGCCGCACGCTGCCGGACAGCGCGCAAAATTGCCGGCCCAAGCGTTTTCTGGCAGGGAGGTGCCGCACACGACGCAGCCCGCGGACTTTCCGGTCGCCCTGGAGGAGTCTTCCGCCAGCCTCGCAAAGTGCGCTTCGAAGCGCGCGGCGCGCTGCGGGTCCTGAGTGCGGACGAAGGTGGTAGCTTCGGCCGCCCCTCCCCCGTGTTCCGACGCATCCGTGCACGAGATTGCTCTTTTCACTTGCGCCCGCAAGTTTGTGCATGCTAGAGGCAGCAATAATGTGAAGGCAATGATTTCGTCCATGGTTGCTGCGCTGGCCTGAATAGGCCCACTTGCTGCCAACTGAATGGTCGGGAAGACTTGTTCGAGCACCGCGAAGAGAGGCCTGCGGAAGCCGGCGGCAAAACAAGCCTGCCCGGCCCAATGCTGGAGCGCGCCAGCGCTCCAGGAGCTTTCCGTGGCCAGGACCGCGCCTTTGAATGCTAGTGCTCGGGCCTTGTCCGGCGCTACCGCCAGCCAGCCCTTGTCCCCCCGCAGAAGACCGCCGAGGATGCCCGCATTGAGCTTCGCCACCAAAGACTTCGCAGGGTTGAGGGGGATGCCATATCGGGCACACGTGCCAACGAAGGCGATGTGTTCTTCCGATTCTGGCGCCTGGAGGTGCTGGAGCCGCGTTTGGGCTTTCCGCACGAAGTCGAACCCGTCGAGACAAACGACGCTCACGCTATCCTCGGGCACCGGCGCGTCTCGCCTGAGCTCCGTGGCCGCGTCGACGGTAGATTCTTCGAACACCAGGACCCGCATGACCCGCTGCATGATCGATACAGCGATTTTTGACCCCATCGCAACGCAACGCATAGCAACCCAAGCTAGCCTGTTCGGATCCCCACCGAACGCTGACGCTGGGACCTGCTTGGAGTACGCGCAATACCCCAGCCACTCTTCCGGGAGCCGGAAGATGTTGAAGCAGCCCTTTTGGTCTTCAGCGTCGTCCCAGAACTCCTCCCCATCTTCCAAAATGCAAGCGCTGAGTAGCGCCGCTACCGGGAGAGTGCGGTCATCTCCACGGAGCTTGCGCAAATACGCGTTGATCGGTGTGAAGATGGAGATGAAGCGCAACAGCGTTTCCCCTTCTTCGGAAGATTCGGGGGGCTTGTCGATGCCCATTGCCCCGTTGACGACCAGCCGGCCTGAAGGGTCGCGGAAAATCTTGTCTTCTGGGACCTCGGCGAAAATGCCTCTGGCAGCGCCCTCTTTCACGATTTTGTACCATTCTCGGTCCGAGGCGTGCACTCTCGAACACGGCGGGTCGAGGGGCCATTCGTCTGGGGGGAGGAGGCAGGAGCTTGGGTTAAGGACATCGTCAAGAAGCTCCCCGTCCAAGAACCTAGTGACGGGCACTGCTGCCGCTTCGCCCGCGCGCGGCCAAGCCGGCAGCACCTTGCTTGCGACCAGTTGCCTGCGCACGGAAACGGGCTCACCCATGTAATCCGTTTGGCGAGTGGCTAGGTCCGCCCTGATCTGGCGAGCGGACGGCGCGGGGCCGCCTTCCGCCAGGAGCTCGGCTGCCGCTTCCCAAAGATGGCCCGCGGCGTGCTGTTGCGTGGTTGTGAGGCCTGGTCGCGGCCCTGGCGAAGGAGAGCCTTTCGCGTCTCCCGCCCATGCTGCTTGTGCGAAGAAGTTGAGGGCTACTGTAATGCACCACACTGCCGCCTGGCAGTGGGATGCGCGAGCACCGTCGTGCCCCGCTGCCTCAGACAACGACCGCGCGTGCTCGCGCGCCGCTGCTGCCGGCATTGGTAGCAAGTCGCTGGCGGGCTGGGTGCCCGAAGGAGGGTCGAGCGAGGCATGCCGCCCTAACGGCGTGTCCAGGTGAGTCAGCGCGTCTTCAAAGAATGCCCACAGCTCGTTTTCGTGGACTAGCTCCTCTAGCTCTTCGCCCGCTATAGCTTGCCACGCGGGTATTGGTAGCGGGGCCACCTGCGCCCCACCACTTTCTTTTGCACAAAAGTGAAGGGGAAGAGGATGATGATGATGATGATGAAGCGCCTTGAAAGGTCGGTCCTCCCAAAACACAAACCTGAGAAGCCACCAATACGCCAAGTGCGCACGGCAGAGAAAGAGGGAAAAGGGAGGAGAGGCAGGAGAGGAAAGAGGTGCGAAGAGATCGTGCGCCGAGGAATCCGTTACAGCAATTGAAGAGGCAGATGCTTTTGCACCGCTCTGTAGGCAAGTAGGGTGAAACTGCGCGCCGGGAACAAGCTTTCCCGCTCCCCCGGAATCGACATCCAGGGGAGGCGGGCTGCGTTCGCCGGCAGGAGGTTGGGCCTGCCCGCGCAAAATGCGCTTCCCCCCGCTCCCAGAATCGACATCCAGGGCGGGCTGGCTGCGTTTGCAAACAGGAGGTCGGGCCTGCCCGCGCAAAGTGCGCTTTCCCACACTCCTGGAATCGACATCCAGGGCGGGTGGGCACGGGTAGCGGCGGTCGTCTTTCACCACCACTTCCCCGCCTTGTCTTTCCCCTTCGCTTTGCTCTTCGAGGCCGCGCCGAAGCTGAAGCCCTTCCCGCTGAAGGCCTCGCCCTTGCCGCGGCTCTCCGTCGCCCCGTTGACCGCTGCGCCAGCTTCGTCCGAGCGGGCGCCCTTTGGTGCCCCTTTCGGGCCCGAGCCGCTCCGGAGAGCGAGTGCCTGCTCGGCTCGGACCTCCGACCGCATCATGTACTTCTCCCCCCTGCCGACGAGGGACGGCGCATCCTCCTCGAACAATTCGAGGAAGCGGGCTCTGGTCCAGCCCCCGTCTGCCACCGACTGCTCGATGGCTTTCAAGTGCTGGGCTGCGAAGTCCATGGCTCTCTTGACCTTGTTGCGGCTGAGCAGGTCGAGCATTTTGCACATGAGCCGCATCTCGTTCGCGTTGCGCTTCGAGAGGGGCGGCTGCTGCGTGGACAGCACCCTCAAGTGGTACGCCGAAGCGACCGCCGGTGCGGCTCCTGTCTGGTTCTCGGAGTCGGAGTCCGCCTCTCCCCCAGGAGTAACCCTGCTGGCCATTTTCCACAGTAGCTTCTCGGCCAGCCTGCCTTGGTTCTCGCGCGCGAAGCGCATCAACCGCCCCTGCGTGGTGCTCGAGCGGTCGCCTGGGGTCGAGGCGTTGTGAAAACCCGCCTCGTCGCTGTCGCTGCAGCTAGAGCGAGCCCGCCAACGGCGGCGGCGCCGGCGGGGCCCGTCTCCTGACCGCTCCCTTGCGCCCTGTTCCCGGCCGCGCGGGCTCGCCGCTTCGCGGCGGCGCGGGCTGGGCTCTCCCCCGCGCCGCGGACTCGCTGCCTCACGGCGGGGCGGGCTGCGCCGCTCTCCGCGGCGCGGGCTCGGCGCCTCGCGGCGGCGCGGGCTGCGCGGCTCCCTGCGGCGGGGGCTAGCGGCGAACTGCGGGCAGCCCCTGCGGCGCGGGCTGCGGCCGCCACAGGCACCGCTCGGCGCCAGCGCGCCGGCGCCGGCAGCGGGGGCCACATCGCGGCGACGCCCCGGCGGGCCCCTGCTCCCCCGAGGGGAAGGGCTCCGTCCGCCCGGGGCGCCCTCCTGGCGCCCCCCCCGCGCGCGGCCCCGCGGCGACCTGCTCCTGTGCCCGCGGGCGCGGTCTGGCCTGTCCAGGCCGTGGCGGTTGTTGCCTTCCTCCAGGCCAGCGCGGAGCTCCTCTAGCTCTTCCCCGACCCCACGCCGGGGTCGCACGCTGCGGGCGCCAGCCCACAACGCGCCGTCGGGGGCCCCGCGCCCCGCAGGCGGAGGCTCGCCCAGAGCCTCCGCTCGTGGCTCCGCCGCTGGGCGGCCACTCGGCGACCGGCCAGGGGGACGCTCCCCGTCGGCCAGCGGCGTCGCCTCGCCGCCGCGGCGTTCGGCACCGCTCTCTCCCCCTGGCTCAGCCCCCTCGCGCAGGGCCTCCAGAATCCGTTTCTGGAGTCCTGGCTTCGCCGCCCAGGCGAGCCTGCCCTCCTCGATGTCCTCGCGGCCGAGTGGCCTCCAGGACTCTATATGGATTTGTCCTTTTGGCCCCCCCCTGCACCCAGCAGCTGCGCACACGTGGTAGACGTCTTTGATTGGGCGGCCTCCAGACCGCATCCAATAATTATAATAGTCGTCTTTCGCTGCAAGGTAGCGCGCTGTGAGAAGCACGCCGCCTTCTGGAGCGTAGTCTCCGTGAAGTACCTGAAGTATGTACGTACCCTGGGAGGCATCGTCGTCGTCGTAGGCGGCCGCCTCTATCAACTCAGACTCAAGGATATCGTTGAGCAGGTCCCCGTCGGCAAGGGTTCCTGCTTTGATCCACCCCCCCGGCATGGGCCCGCTTGGGCCCGCTTTCAAGCAGATCGGAGGCTACAAAGGAACTGTCCTAACACTGGGAGTGTGCTTCAAAATTGAACTATTCCCCTGCTTGCCCCAAAACGGCTATGGCGCGAGAGAAGGGCGTGAGCAAAGTGCAGGAAGAGGGGGAGGGGGAGGAAGCAGAGGGAGAAAAGTAACGAATTTCCCCCCCTTGACTGGGAGCTAACCTACTCATGCTTCCAATGCGCTCCCCCTCATTTCCTGCCCCTTCTGATGCTACAGTGCGGCATCCCAGTGCGCTCTCGAGTCAACGTGTGAACAATCGGGACGACCACTCCGCATCGCCCTGTGTGTTGGTCACCGCCGGGAACTCGTAGAGCTTGAGCCAATGCGGGCGGCAATATCGCATTGCGCGCGCGCGAGGGCGCGGTTTCATGGAGGAGGACTAGAGGAGAAGAAAGAGCAAGGCGAAATGGGATGGAGGAGGGGGAGGAAGAAAAGAAGGAAGAGGGGAAGGAGCAGGAGGAGCAGACGGACGGGAAGGATCAAGAAGGGCATCGTTATCTCTGAAAACTAATAGAGCACGAATAGTTTTCTGGCTCCAACTCTGGAAGCGTGACGAGTTCAGGCATCTAAATACCTAACGCTAACGCGTCAGGTGATTCCCTTCCGATTGCTGTGCCAAAAAGCTATGTAGCTCATCTGCAGCTCGAGCTATCTGAAGAAATTCTAAACCATCTCTCTAAAAGTCTAGCAGACTACAAATAGTTGACTGGACCCAGCTCTGGTATCAGACAGAGTTGGGGCGTCTGGATACTCTGGACTACGTTTCCCTTCGACTGCTGTGACAAACAGCTCTGTAGCTCATCTCCGGCTCCAGTTCAGTCAAGAAAACCATCACGGGTTCTGAAAATCAACACAGCTCTAATTCCCAACCCTCCTTGGTTGAGTATTCGTTTTGAATGGAGCAGTGTGGTCGCGTCCCTTCTCCCGCCTCCCGCATCTTCCTGTCTTGCCCGCGGGGGGCTGCGATCTGTGAAACTGTCGCCACTTTCGAGGCCTGCTGGGGGGCCCAGCACAGTGAGGGCCACGGGCGGACCCAAATTAAACCTCGCCATCCCAGGGGGGCTGCGATCTGCGAAACTGTCGCCACTTTCGAGGCCTGCTGGGGGGCCCAGCTGACCTCGCCATCCCTGGGGGGCTGCGAGTGAAACTGTCGCCACTTTCGAGGCCTGCTGGGGGGCCCAGCACAGTGAGGGCCACGGGCGGACCCAAATTAGACCTCGCCATCCCTGGGGGGCTGCGATCTGCGAAACTGTCGCCATTTTCGAGGCCTGCTGGGGGGCCCAGCACAGTGAGGGCCACGCGCGGATTCAAATTAGACCTCGCCATCCCTGGGGGGCTGCGATCTGCGAAACTGTCGCCATTTTCGAGGCCTGCTGGGGGGCCCAGCACAGTGAGGGCCACGGGCGGACCCAAATTAGACCTCGCCATCCCTGGGGGGCTGCGATCTGCGAAACTGTCGCCACTTTCGAGGCCTGCTGGGGGGCCCAGCACAGTGAGGGCCACGCGCGGATTCAAATTAGACCTCGCCATCCCTGGGGGGCTGCGATCTGTGAAACTGTCGCCACTTTCGAGGCCTGCTGGGGGGCCCAGCACAGTGAGGGCCACGCGCGGATTCAAATTAGACCTCGCCATCCCTGGGGGGCCGCGATCTGCGAAACTGTCGCCACTTTCGAGGCCGGCCTGCTGGGGGGCCCAGCACAGTGACGGGCCACGCGCGGATTCAAATTAAACCTCGCCATCCCTGGGGGGCTGCGATCTGCGAAACTGTCGCCACTTTCGAGGCCTGCTGGGGGGCCCAGCACAGTGAGGGCCAGGGGCGGACCCAAATTAGACCTCGCCATCCCAGGGGGGCTGCGATCTGTGAAACTGTCGCCATTTTCGAGGCCTGCTGGGGGGCCCAGCACAGTGAGGGCCACGCGCAGATTCAAATTAGACCTCGCCATCCCTGGGGGGCTGCGATCTGCGAAACTGTCGCCATTTTCGAGGCCTGCTGGGGGGCCCAGCACAGTGAGGGCCACGCGCGGATTCAAATTAGACCTCGCCATCCCTGGGGGGCTGCGATCTGCGAAACTGCCGCCATTTTCGAAGCCTGCTGGGGGGCCCAGCACAGTGAGGGCCACGGGCAGATTCAAATGAGACCTCGCCATCCCTGCGGGGCTGCGATCTGTGAACCTGTCGCCACTTTCGAGGCCTGCTGTGATCCCCGTGTTCGAAGTGGCTAGGAGTGCTCAGGAATTGTAAATCATCAGCTTTATCAAGCCCTTTTCCTGTAGCCAGTGTCCTGCGAGTCTCCCGAATTTCGTCTGCAGACATATGTAACCCTCGCTCCGTCATCGCCCCCTTATAAAGTATCCTAAACTATTTGCGCCCCGCTTTTGCGCAGGGGTTGGGTACGTCGCCAGGGTAATTTTTTCGGACCGTAGCAGACCGAGTTCAGGCATCTAGATACTTTAAACTAGCGCGCCCGATGATGGTCTGTCGATTGCTGTGCCTCAGAACTCGGTAGCGCATCTGCAGCTCGAGGTAAGTAAAAAATCATCAGCATCTCTAAGCAAATTAGCAGAATACGAATAGTTTCGCGACCCAGATCTGGTAGCAGACCGAGTTCAGACATCTAGATACTTTAGACTAGCGCGCCTGGTGCTGGTCTTCCGATTGATGTACCAAACAGCTCTGCAGCTCATCTGCAGCTCGAGTCAAGCCAAGAAGCTCCTCATCATTTCGAGAGAAAAAAGGATAGTACGAATAGCTTCGCAGACCCAACTTGGTAGCAGACCAATTTGGGACATCTAGATACTGAAGACTAACGCGCCTGATGATGCTAGATGCGTTGGGTGTGCCTGTCGGCTCTGCAGCTCATCTACAGCTCGAGTTAAGTTAAAAGAACCGACAGCACCTGCCAAGATGACACTCAACAGCCGATTCCCCCAAATGATTTCCGATTCTAACCTGTACCCGATCGACCTGAGACTAAGATGGCGAGCGAGAAAAAGATCGAATATGAAGGCAAAAATACTAAAGCTCTAACGAATGTTCAAATTCCGGAATCGAATTTAAACCGAGCAAATGCATGCAAAACTTCCGTCGAGAATTTGTTTGCCAACTAGCCCCTCAGCGCGCGGGAAGTACTCTCTAGCTTCGCCGCTAACGCTCTTAGGGAAGCTCTACGAGTCAAAAAGCAGAGTACGAATAGTTTGTTCGGACCCAACTCTGGCAGCAAACCGATTTCGGGCATCTAGATACTTTAGAAAAGGGAGCCTGATGATTATCTGACGATTGCTGTGCCAAACAGCTCTGTAGCTCATCTCCAGTTCGAGTTCCATCAAAAAACTTATGACCACCTCCAATAGAAATTAGCAGCGTACGAATAGTTTAGCGGACCCAGCTCTGGTAGCAGATCGAATTCAAGAACCTAGATACTTGCGACTAACGCGCCTGATGATTCTATATGGATTAGGTGTGCCTGCCAGCTCGGTAGCTCTTCTACAGCTCGAGTTAAATTGAGAAAACCGACATCACCTGCAAAGATGACACATAACAGCCGATCCCGCCCCGATGCTTTTTGGCAGTAATAGGAACCCGATCGACCCGAGATTAAGATTGCGAGCGGGAGTAACACCCAATGAAAGGAGAAAAAATACTAGAGCTCTAACGACATGTAGAATTCCTAGAAATCGAATTTCAACCGAGCAAAATTGTGCAAAACTTCCGTCGAATTTGTTTTGCCAACTAGCCCTCCAGCGCGCCAGGATTACTCTTCTAGCTTCGCCGCTAACGCTCTTAGGGGAGCTCTACGAGTCACTTGCCCCCCATCGCACCGGAATTACTCTTCTAGCTTTGCCTCTAATGCTCTTATGGAAGCTCTACGAGTCACTAGCCCCCCAGCGCGCCAGAATTACTCTTCTAGCTTCGCCGCGAACGCTCTCAGGGAAGCTCTACGAGTCATTCCTCTTCTAGCTTCGCGGCTAACGCTCTTAGGGAAGTTATGCGAATTATTTAAGCGAGCAGTAGAGCGCTGGGAGACTTACGAAACGACGCTTCGGGGGGCTTGGAAAGTATTATTCGGGGAGCGTGGAAACGACGCTTTGCGGGGCTCTGCGGAAGCGTCTCGCGCACCCTGGAGCCACGCGTATTGGGAAACGCTAGGAAGCCATGCTCCTGGACTCGCTGGAGGCTCAAGCAACCTCCTGCGGGGTTTCTGGACCGCCGTGGAGGACCTGCTGGGGCACGGCCACCGTCCGGCTTCTAATCAAAAAACCAAATAGCCCTCAAGGAGCTATTCAGGAACTCGCAAGCGTCCAAAACTGCGAGCCCGCGGTAAACCGTCAACCAGGTTACCGCCGAGACCCTCGCAGAGCTCTCAACACGCAAATCAGCGCGCAGATGAAGAGGAGAGAGCGATCTCGAATGCCAGCTCCAAAACTCATAAGATGTATTTTTCGAATTGTATACAACGGCGGTTCTGCCAATGCTTTGATAGCAATACTGCAGCTACGGACCTGAAATTTCAATGGCAGACGCGGCATGACCCACTGGAGGTGCGAATAATGCTTGAACTGTATGGGTCGCTTGCTTCTCTCGTTGAGTTCACGAAACCATGATTATCTCGAAAACTGTATCCCGACGACCGGTGGTTCCTCCTAATTTTCGAGAAATACACGGCAGCTACAGCCCCGAGACGTTCACCACCGAACGCCCCATGATCCACTACAGGAAATAAAAATCGACTTTCCCAAACGAGTTGTCTAATCTCTCACAATCTTCGAACTGGGAACCGGCGGTAGCCTTGGTTCTGCGTTCTGCGTTCTGCGTAGGCCGATTCGAGCTCCCACGGGAGCAGGCCAGGACACAAGGAAGATACCTAACAGCGAAGCTGTACAGATGGCAGCGAAGCTAGAAGATAAAAAGCAGCGAGTTTGCCAGATGAGATCCGTGGGCACTATCTCCGCAGAAACG